AATTCTTCTTGGTAAAATAAAACAAACAGATAGTTAATCTCTCATATTTCAAAGAATATATATGTTTCAAATATCGTATCACGCTCGGGGTTGCAAGTTCTCGTTAAACAATTAACACCACACTCATATATAAATATATATATTTGAACGGCGGGCAAAGAGTTGAGTGACCTTAGTTATAACAATTTCGTGGGATATCGGAAGATTAAAAAATGACATTTTCCCGTTCCCGTGTATCCGCTCGCACGCTCGCTCGCGTGCACACTTACTACTACCACCACCACTACTATTGTTCGTTTTAAAGCGCATATAAGCAAGAAAGTAAAGCCGTACTTGTTCTTATCGGATTCGCCAGATCTAGGAAACGAACCCCGTGTAGGAATGGTTATCTCGGTACGACGATTTCTATGCTCCGTGTTAGCTTCATGCAATTTTTTTTCGATCGCGTGTCGATACAAACAACAGCTCTCCTATTCTCTCTCTCTCTCTCTCTCTCTTTATTTTTATTTTTGTCTTCGCTCTATTCCATTCTCCTAGTTTACTACGCTGCTTGTCGGGCGACGTTATCAATTTCATTATTTCAGCAGAACGGGTTGGCCGGGTTATAGTCGTCGTCGTGCGTTTTCACGCTCGGAAAAAATGAGTAAACGTTGTGCTCCCAACTAAACAGAGACATAATACACGCGCGGAAAACACTCTGGTTAATTTTCTGTGTTTATTTTTTATCTTTTTCTTTTTTTTTCTTTTACTTACTCATTTCTCTTTATTTCTTTTTTTTTAAAAGAACTTTCACGGATAATAATCAAGGATAAATAAAAATAAAAAATAAAAAACGCGACGATTACGTTAAGAGCAGCAGACAGACAGAGACCCCCTCCCCCTCCCCCTCACCCCTTCCTCTCTTCTCGTCCATGTCGAAGAATCAAGATGAGAGATGGGGACATGAGTAAATATCATTCTCGTTTCGTTGGATCGTCAACGAGGCGAGTTTTACTGGGCTCCAGAGTTAAATTGTCGTTTGTGCCTGACGAAAGATAATATCGCTAAATATCTTTGACGATGTTTTTCTCTGTGGCTCTCTCTCTCTGTGTATGCGAGCTTTACATGTTTTTTCGAGAACTCTTCTTTCTATCTCTTTCGGTCAACAAATATTTGTTATTTTTATTATTTTTCTCCGGATGCTTTCAATATGATCACATATTTTCATCATACGTAAAGATAATTGAGATAAGATGAGGAGTGAATTCTACGAAAGAATTTCTTTCCTTCTTTTACGATAATTCTTTCATTTATACTTTGCCAACTTTAATATTAGGACCAAACCAAAAGTTCCCGAGTTCATTGTATTGTTTCTCAAATATAGTGTCAATATTTTTTGAAGTTAATAATAAAATTACTTTATATATGTAAGTGAAATATTAATTTAAAAAGCGCAAGAAAATTTTGGTTTACACCCTAACACAGTTCTTATCGATTTTCTTTTTTTAAAAAAAAAGACCATTGTGCAACTTTTGAACGTTTCCCCGTTTTAATATGATTTTCATGATTTTGATTAATCCGATTGTGTAACGTTTCTAAAAATAATGTAAATGTTTATACTATTTTATTCGTTAGAGTAACACAACAATCTAGAATATCGTAAAATCGTATAAAGGATCTCGAGGGTATTGTACGAATACGCTTATTTACCAAAGTTTATGCAGTGGAAAATTAAGGAAGGGAGTATCGATCGACTTTAATGCCCAAAACGAAATCGTCCGACATTCGTTTTAGTTATCTCACGTGTTGGGCTAACCGTTCGTTTTGGCTTACCGTATCGAATTTAACGACCTTTTTTATTTTTTTTTTTTTTCTTTATTTTACATTCCTTTTTTATAACTTGTCTTCTCGGGTCAGAATGATCGTAAAATTGATTGCCATTTAATTAATTCCTCGTGAGTGTTGTCCCATATAATTCTTATAATTGCAATTTCTCTCTCTAATAATTCCCTTCATTATCATTGTTTGCCAGACGAATTGTCTTCGAACGAATTAAACATTTTTTCTTTTTTTTTTTTTCTATAAATACCCTTGTTAACGAATAATCATGTCGCACTGAAACGAACTGGTTGATAGTAATTGGTTTGACTGTACTTGGATTGAGGAATTAGTTAGGTATGGAATAAAACTCGTATACGTACATATTTCTATGTAGAAACACGATTTTCTATCTATATAACTATATATTTAACGGACATAGATACTTACACAAAAATAAAAATACCTGTACTCACATACACGTATACACATATGTACACGTATGTTACATAATATGACCAACTCATGTGCTCTAAACCAGCAAATACGTGGCAATAAACGTGACGTACGACTGACAATCGAACGAAAAGACAATTATACGTTTATGTATACGTGCACGACGCACGTAAACGTTCGAATTCCACATCGTTTATAAATTTATTTCTCACTTTTATAAAGCTCAGCTTCTTTTCTTCGTTGAACTTTGTTAACAACATCGTAAATCGTTAATGTTGACACGTAAGAAAATTAAACGAGTTTATCCGTGGATGTTAGAAGTAGTCAGTTTAAAAGAAAAAACAAAACTTCTGTAAAATTGAGTATTAATTATCTCGAAATATAAATTTTTCAATATTATTTATAAAATATCTCGCGTAGTGTCTGTGTCGGTGGTTGAAAAACGTGTTAAATGTTGAAGAATTTAAAATATCAATTATATCGTTGCGAGATAAAAGTATTAATTACAGAAAAAAAAGCAAAGAAATAAATGTAATCTTCGTAATTAACTGCAGAATATAATTTTGCTAACAAATAAACAAATTTCTAATAATTGATTCATCTTGAACAGAAGAACATAGCCACACATATATATATATATATATATATATATCATATTTATTGAATATCTTTTTAGAAAAAAAATATATAATAACGTTCACAGATGTGATGGTAATAAAAACAAAAAACAAAAAGAATAAAGGTTGGAACATTACTGTAGGAATTTCTGTAAGCATTTCGAACGTCCCATGATATATATCCTCGTACTTAATCGTACTCCATCGACGTCGACGAGCACGTGCTTTGATCTCGTCTAGATACGGGCAATTAAACCGCGGCCATTGGCCGGTTATAGCCAGGACCGGAGCCGGAGCCCCGACGACAACACAGGACGAGTTCAGTTCTCTCTCTCTCTCTCTCTCTCTCTCTCTCTCTCTCTCTCTCTCTCTCTTCCTATACTGTCGCCCCATCTATGACAACGCACGTTGAAATTGACGTAGTAGTATTGTGCGAGCGGTGAATTGGCCCGACATAATTGCCATAATTGCTCGTTATGTTGAATCCCTCAGCGAACGTCGCGACATGCCTACACGTTCCGCGTAGTATATATGTGCGTGTTTCGTTAACCTTTTTTTTTCTTTTTCTTTTTTATCCGATGGAGAGAGAATACTGAAATAAATTATTATATTGCTTATATTGTTTGCTAATTGAAAAAAGAAAAAAAAGAAAAGAAAAAAATATGCGCATTATCTTTGCTCCTCCCCCTTTATTTTTTTATTGTTTCTTTAATCCTATATCTACAATTCTTATATCAAAAATACCCGAAAACACAAAAGATAAATTCTTTTTTTTTTTCTTGCCAACATTTTCCAAGAACTCTAATAATCATCATCCCTTCCGCGACTACTAAGTTAACAAAGAATGGACAAAGGAATAGGGACAAATAAAAGAAAGAAGAGAATGAGAGAGAGAGAGAGAGAGAGAGAGAGAGAGAGAGAACGAGTTAACAAAAAAGGGGGAACGAAATTGCCATGTAAAAGCGAACGTACCGGGTCCGTTCTACGATAACGCGCGTGACTTCGACTACGCACGGGGATCTGCCTTTTGCGGCTAAATTCAATTTTAATAAAGCCCGCTCTTGGAAAGTGGATAGGGTAAAGTAAAAAGAAGTTGGAAAGGGCTGGACAGAAAAAGAAGTATGAGTGAAAGTCGATGTAGAAGTTAAAAAAAAAAAAAAAGGAAAGAAAGAAAAAACAAAGAAAAAAGAAAAAGTAAGAGACTTCTGGTGAAGAGAAGAAAAAGGGATCCTTTACGAGGGAACAATGGCATCGAATCTTTTTGAAAGGCGTTCGTCCTATCGTATAAACCGTGTCGGCTCTTTTCGAGCCGTGCAAGCGCAGAAGCCGAAGAGTTGCGGTATTTTAGCCACGAGATAATTATATTGAGGCGACGGAATGGAATTCCGTCAGAAAAACTTGTCCTCGAACCTATCGAATAAGGTCTTAAGCGAGCTTCGACGTATAACTGACAACACTTCGTCGTCTTGTTCTTTTCCCTTTTGATTACTTCGATATTTCTCTTTCTTTAACCCTTTCATTCTTAACGCCGGATATATTCGGCATCCGCACGATAATACTTTCAATCGAATTGTCCTAACGAAAGAATTATAAAACAATGTCTGATCGTATGAGAATATTTTTTTCTTATACTACTTAAGAATGTCTGACCATATATCAGGAAATTATTTTCTTATACTACTTATACATAAAATTTCTGACCACATGTGAGGATATAAAAATTCTTCTTCTTTTTTCATTTGGATTCTATGATCATTGTTTACAAATATTTTTCTCACATTATTTTTGTTCCTGGACGTTTCTCGTATTTATTTTCGTTGATCGATCGGACGGAAGAGAAATTTTGTTTAAATCATTCATCACGACTTTTTTGCGTGAATATTTTAATATTGTAAGAGATCCGCGTCCATTTCAATATTGCTTTATTGCGTTTTAATATTTTATTCCATTTTTTTTCAATTAAAATTGGTTCTCAATTTTTCATATGTGTGTGTGTAAAGAGAGAGAGAGAGAATTTTCAATTTCCGGTTTAAAATTTGTACATAATTCTCGTCGATGGAACTAAATTGCGGTATATAACGATGTAATTGGCAGAGATACTCACCATTGTGTTACCCTCGTTTGTTACAGGATCGACATATGAAGGATGTGAGCAAGGATCCAGAGGTGGATTCGAGCCAAGATTATCGTCTCCTATTGGGTTACGAGAACAAGACGCACACTGTGCTACGTTTCAGCAGAAGATACGACACATGCGACTCTAGGGATCTCAAGATCACGGTAAGCGAAATGATTTATGAGCTATGCTGAACCTGACAAACACCCTTGGCCGGTGATAGAATGCGTTCAAGACTTATCGCTCCAACAAATTTCTGATTGATTTTACGTTATTATTATTTCGACGTAAATCCATATACACATTGATATATTATAACATTCGTTTAATATTTTAATTAATTATCGCATCGAACACATAAATTCAAATGTTTAATCGACAAATTTGTTATTTGCGACAACGACTGTCAAAGCATCATTCCAAATTTCATTAAAGTTCTTTTGAAATAAACTATAAGGGATTTTACAATCTAGCGCGGCGCGTTAATTAATATTCGATCCAATTAGAATGGGATTAAATGTTGTAACAATCTCTATTAACATAGTCGAAAAGTATCTAAAGTCGAAAAGTCGCAGCGTTATCACAACTTTTCTTACCTCGGGATTTCGCTTTTGATAACGCGGAGTAGGATGACCTACTTCTTTATTTCACCGGTAATTAACTCAGAAATAGATTGCACGATAGAGCCACCCATTCGCTGGTGGTGTTCCGTTCAGGCTTAACTCGAAGAAAAGAGATTACGAGCGTGTTACGATTTGTTTAAGCCCGTACATCCTAGAATTTATTGCGAGCAAGGATAGGACACGAGAATACTCAAGGCTGCTGCTGGCTGTGCTGCTTCTGATAATACTCGGATCGATTCACGTCCCGATTCGTTTAGTTTCGCGCTTACTTCTTTTACTTTCTTCTTTTTGTTATTTCTTCTTTTTTTACCGATTGGCCAATCTCTTTTTTTCATCTATGCAAAAGTATACTGAAAGTTTTTAGATAAGAATAAAAAAAGAAATAATAGGAATTTGAAACGTTAATCTTCCACGAAATGTAAAACGATCATTAAAGCTACGGTAAAAAAAGGTATTAAATATTAAACAAGATTGTAATTAGCAAGGTAATATCCAATGTCACCATACCGAAAGTCTCTTCTTCGTAACAATGTTCAAGCCTAAGGGGTAATCTTCCAATTTCGTAGTTTCTCCTTGATGTTAATCATCGTTCGTACCAACTTAATGATCGCTAATACAAGCTTATTACTTCAGAGCAGTAAGCCGAAGAACGTGACTCGAGTATGCGTTGTTAACATTTTCCGCGCCTATGCGCCAGGAAACCACGGGGTTTACGTTCCTTGCGTAATAGTTTCTCTTCCAAATATATTTACTCTACATAGTATATATATATATATATATATATATATATAAAATGTCTCGTTAAATTTTCACTAGAACGTTATTTTTTCTTTTTAACCCCCTTTTTTTCTTTTTTTTCTTAATATACATCGTCAGAATCGAGATCGTTTTTATGTTACGAAACGGAAATATCTAACATGATCGAATCGAATCAGCTGCTGTATACGCAAGAACGCCTCGTATGCGATACGCCTTACATAAATACTCGATATATGTATGCTAAGGCTCAAATATTGGTAGCTGATCACGAAGTTGAAGTGGTACTTCCACAGATTCCGAAACCTATGCTGCTGACGTTTCAGATATTCCCGTTTTCCTTCTCGCAGATTCTATTCTTATAGGGAATGGAAAAAAATCCTACTACTAGTCTTTTCTTTCTTAACAATCATGCTTCTATGCTTTGTTGAAAAGTACAAGATTGAACAAACCAAAAAAAAATGTATATATATATAAATGAAAGAAAAAGAAATACCTAATCGCGAACTATATAAAACGTGACGTCGATCATGATATAGAATTTGTAACAAAGAAACTGCATGTCCTGCAAGTACCATGATCTCTTTCTTTATCTCTTCCTTCTATCTATCTATCTTTTTCTTTCCTTTGGTCCATCTTACAACGCAGTGGGGGGGAAAGGGGTGGTGGTAGGGGAAATGTCCATCTAACTGTTAAGTCATCAAAATACTTTCCAGCAAAACTAGAATCAGTCCGAAAATATTATTCTATTGAAAGAGGGACGAAAGACCGAGTCAGTCATGTTATTTTCATTCTTTTCTTTTTTGCTTTGAAATTTTCTTCTTTACTGATCCCTCTTTCTTCTCTCCATCATATATATCTATATATATATATATATAAGTGGTTCTCAGTCTTGTTGATGTATCGGTTTGCTACGTGTACATCATATTTTCACGTGTCGTATCTTCGTGTTTTTCGTAGAAATATCTGAGATTGTTTAGGTTCATGGAAAGATTGAGATACATATTATTAATCTTTTTTCTCTTTTGTTTTTATATGAAAATCAAAAAAACAAATATTTAATATCTATCTTTGAACGAACAATCGATTACATTTTCAATCTAAATGTATACTCTCGTCGAATAAATTTCTCATTTGAAATAAATCATAGATTTTAGAAAAGTATGCTTGGTAATAAATGCTTTCTTTCTCTTTGTAATATAGTAGGAAAAAATGAACGTTTTTTTTTTATTAATTTTTTAATAAAATTAATAAACAGTATAAACAACATGAGTCATTTTAATTGAACACACAATAGACGATATAATCTCATATATTTTAATATTAATAACAATGATATTTTTCTTTCACACCTTGGATACAATGTGTCGAGAAAGTTTGTCAAACGTTCTTGTCGGAAAATTCGTCAACCCATCGGGGATATATCTGTTGGCAGAGACGGTACGTGAGCGTTGGGAATCGACGACACTTATACTATCATACGTTTCTCGAATCCATTGTTATTCGTAACGTCGGTCGGTAGTGGATTAATTGAATGAACATCAAATTAAGGAACGTTCTGTCGTAATCGGCTTACGTTAGTGTTGAGAGGGCTAGGTTGTGTGTGGTATGGTGTGAGAATAATAGTAGATGGGGGGGGGAGGGTGCGGGAGGTTGCAACGTTTCGATCGAGTATTAATATTACTCTGCTTCCTCCTCCGACTTGTCTCTTTGTTTTAGTATGCAGACAGTTTCATCAGTGAGACGTGAAATTAAGCTCAGCTATGCCATAGGATGACACGAGTACTATATCGTCTTGCGAAACATTCCTATTTCTCTGACTATTTCGTCTATCTGCGTCTTTCTCTTTCTATTCCTTTCTAAATAGTATACATATACATAATATATCTTCGTTATTAACGATAATTAAAATCTTCCCTTTTCTCTCTTTTCTTATTAGTTTCCTCTATTTTTATGGTGTTAATATTAATACATTGGAACACGTCAAAGTTGAGTAGACACAAAAGCAAGCAAGCAATCATTTTTAAGATTTCGTCAAGGAAATATATTTCCCTTGATACTTTTCGTATAATAGAAAATTCGTATGTATTCTTTTTTTTTTTTTTTTATTTCGGAATCAAAATCGATAACAATTGTGGAATATTGTAGATTTAATATTATCCCAGCTGGGAGATTATATTCGTTTGACGTATGGAATATTAAATGAGAATTGGAAAGCGAGAAAAATGAAAAGGAGGAAAAAAGTTGTACGTAAAAAAAAAAAAGAAAAAAGAAAAGGAGGAGAAAACGCAGGTGGATAGTGTCGGTAGTAGCGGTACAATCATCACGTGCTCGATTTCTCACAGAATGAAAAAGAAAGTTGTGGAATACTTGGAAATTACGATAAAAATACTTCGGTTGGTGTGAATGAAAATAATATCTATAGTACGTTTTAAATATTCTAAGAATGTCTATCGATCCTATATATATACCTTACGATTAATTAATAATATAATTAAACGTAAATATATCAAAATATATATATAACGGAGTATGTTGAGAAAAAAAAAGAAAAACGGCAAACGAAACCTCTGAGAAAGATATTTGAATGTAGAGGTAAAGAAACGAAACGATGCTAGGGATTTTGACGAAAGCCAGAAAAGTTTGAACCTAAGCGAGGGGGTGGGGGTGGAAAGGGATGGTAGGAGTAGGACAGGTCGTGTTTAAAGGATTCCCTTGCGAGATAGAAAAAGGTACTACCTAGCGTTTCGCAAATTCCTGAATTCGAACGAAGAATATCTCGATAGATATATAACAAGACTACTCTCAACTTTTCTTACTTTTTCTCTAGTATTTTTTTTTTTTTTTTTCTTCCACTCGTGTACAACAACCTACCAAAGAATGTCCATTTCGATAGATGCCCAAGAATAGCCGTTTATTATCAAGAGGAGGAGCCTGTTCGTAGTCCTTCTTTCGCGTTGAATCCTCTTGAGTGCAGTGTCGATCGAACAGGTGAAGAAGAGGAGAGTGGGTTGGGCGGGGAGGGGAGGGGGAGGGAAGTTCGGTGAGAGGTTCGTAAGCTTACGTGCACATCGAAGAGGACGATGTTTCTGGGAAAAGGGATGGCTTCGATGAAAGTGGAACTGAAAGCGGCTCTCTCTGTGTGAAAGGAGCAAAAGAGAGAGAGATAGAGAGATAGAGAGAGTGAGTTGAGGGTAGGATGCAATATATATATATATGTATGCATGTTGGAGGAAAACTCAGCTAGGTAGATCGGTCCTACCTTGCGAACGGAATTGGCTAGCTGACCCGCTTCCGCGTTTCTATTCTGGCTTCTATTCTGGCTTCTATTCGCGGCCGTATCTAGTTTACCACTTTGGACAGTCGGAAGGTCTCTCTCTCTCTCTCTCTCTCTCTCTCTCTCTCTCTCATTCTTTCTCTTTCTCTTTATTCCGGATAGCGGAACCGATCACTATTCCAAATAGACGCTTGGATGTAAAAGGAAAATCGAATTTGACCGATGCTGGTTCCGAAAGAGAGAGAGAGAGAGAGAGAGAGAGAGAGAGAAAGAAAAGTATATATCGTGTATGTGAGAAAAAAACGAAAAAAAAGGAAAGAGAGAGAGAGAGAGAGAGAGAGAAAGGGCGATGGCCAGCAGGTGCAACGTTCGATCGTGAACGCTCAGACACGTATATGACTTTAGAGAAAAAGAGAGAAAGAGAAAAAGGAAGAGGAAGAGGAGGAGAAAGAGGTGAGGTAGGGTAAAAGGGTGAACTTGGAGGAAACTATCGAACGCGACGGGAAAT